CTCTAGATAAAGCCCTACCGGTATACTAACCGTGGGATTATACGATACCTATTAAAGAAGGTAAGACACTAGGGAAATTAGCGATTTACCCACTATTACTAGAGAAGCTAGAGGCGCTACAAGTGTACCTAAATAAGAATCTAAAAAAAGGATTCATATAGGAATCCTAGTTACCTATAGGATACCCTATCCTATTCGTACTAAAGAAGGACGGTAAGTTATAACTCTATATCGACTACCGGGGACTAAATAATATAACTATTAAGAATAGTTATCTATTACCTTTAATTTTAGAGTTATAGGATCGACTCTAAGGAGCTAAATAGTTCACGAAATTCGACATTCCAGGAGCATATAACCAGATTCGAATTAAAAAAGGTAAGGAGTAGAAGATAGCGATACGAACCTGTTTTAGACTCTACGAGTATTTAGTTATACTATTTAGGCTTACTAATACTCCCGCTACATTCTAGGCATACATTAACAATATTCTAAGGGAACACTTAGATATGTTTGTAGTTATCTACCTTAACGATATACTAGTATATTTAAAGACCGAAGAGGAATATATATAACATGTTAGATAAGTCTTAGAAGCGCTCTAGCGAGCGAACTTACGAATTATACTAGAAAAGAGCCAATTCCATCAATAGGAGATTGAGTTCTTAGGGTATATTATTACGGATTATAGGATCTAGATAGACAAAACTAAGGTGTAGGTAGTACTTAAATAGCCTACACTAAAGTTAGTAAAAGACGTGCAATCGTTTTTAGGACTAGCGAACTTCTACCGAAAGTTCATACGAAGCTACTCCCAAATTATAGCGCCACTAACGGATCTTACGAAAAAGGATCAAGGATTCTAGTGGAGTAAAGAAGCTAATAAGGCTTTTAGTACACTAAAGGAACGGTTTAGTACGGAACTAGTTCTAATAATGTTTAACCCAATAAAAGCTATTATCATCGAAACGAATGCTTTAGACTTAGCTATAGGAGCCTACTTAAATTAATAAGACAACGAAGGGCGTTAGCATCCGGTAGCATTTCACTCACGAAAGTTTAGTGGACCGGAATTAAACTATAAAATCCATAATAAAGAGCTACTAGCTATTGTTAAAGCATTTAAGTAATAGAGAGTATATCTAGAAGGAGTAAAATATTCAATTTAAGTGTTTACGGATTATAAGAATTTGGTGTACTTCACTACCACTAAGGTATTAAATTGTAGATAGGTGCGATGGTCCGAGGAATTATCGACATTTAATTTCAAAATCCACTATCGCAAAGGCTCCGAAAATGCGAAAGTAGACACTTTTAGCAGACGACTAGATTACATAGGAAAGAAGCCCCAGACAGCCAGCTCGATACTAGAATAATATCTAAACAGAAAAATCACTTACAATTAGAGTATACTAGCAGCTACTATAGCGATTACTAATAGTAACCTCGAGGATTGCATACGGAAGGCATATACATAGGACGCTCATGCTCAGAGAGCGCTTTCCAAGTGACTCGACGGATTTAAATAGATAGATAAGGGTCTACTACTATTTAAAGGACTAGTATATATACCACCTGCCTAGCGGATAGAGGTTATTCGATAATACCACGATAGTCTAACTGAAGAACATCGCGGGATCTATAAAACAGTTAAAGTAATTAGCCGCACCTACTTCTTCCCAAGACTTAGGAAGAAGGTGGAGGAATATATCGCCACATACGATCTATACTATAAGATAAAGCTAACCTAGCACAAACTATATAGGTTAATAAAATTAGTAGTAATGCCAATACAGCTATAGGCTTTAATAGCTATAGATTTTATTATTAAACTACCTCTTTCCGAAGAACCTTTAATAAAGGTGAAATACGACTCCGTGCTTACTATCGTGGATTAATTAATAAAGGAAGTACGCTTTATACCATATAAGGAATCGTCTAATGCTAAAGAACTAGCATACACCTTCCTCCAGAATATAACAGCAATATAGGGCCTACCTAAGAAGATCATCTTAGATAGGGATAAACTATTTATATTAAACTTCTGGACCTCGCTTACAGCACAGTTGGGACTAGCCTATAAGCTTTTAACAGCTTACTATCCCTAGACGGATAGATAAACCAAGCACATAAACTAAGTGCTAGAATAGTACTTAAGAGGATACATAGATTATAGATAAAAGAATTAGGTATCACTATTACCACTAGCACAACTAGCATATAATACAAGCGTAAACAAAATAATAGGACAAACGCCGTTTTACGCTAACTATAGATACCATGCCTAGATGTTCCATGAATCTAGAGAAGTCTAAACCCTAGTAGAGTCATCTAGGTTAATAGTGGAAGGAATGTAATAGATGTACTAAGAATTACGAAAAGATATCGAATTTCTATCGCAATAATCAGCATTCCACTATAACAAACATAGATCCAGAGGACCTACGCTTAAAGAGGGGGATAAAGTTTACCTCCTCTAGAAAAATATTAAGACAACGAGGCCAAGCAAGAAATTAGACCACGTCAGAATAGGACCTTTCAAAATCGTCAGAAACATTAAGGATACAAGCTACGAATTAGACCTGCTAGAGGGAATAAGAATACACCTAGTGTTCTATATTTCGCTATTAGAACTAGCCCCTATAGAAGTACTAGTATTAGCTAAGATACTAGATAACTACCTAATAGAACAAGAAGGACGATATAAAGTATAAAGGATCCTAGACGATAGCACTAACTTTAAGGATAGGCTATAACGATACCTCGTAAAATAGAAAGGCTACTCAAACTTAGATAATATATAGGAGCTACATACTAACCTCGATAGATGCGAACGAGCTATAAGGAAATACTATAAGGACCCAAGACCTTGTTAGAGGTAGGCTTAAAGAATGAGGGAGGAAACCTATCTAGGGCGTTCTAAGTCGTAGAAGATATAGTAAGCACGTCTAAGAAGGCGATAGGCGCGGGATTAGGGAAGTCTATTAAGAACTTAGAAGGAGGGCTCAGCTAGCCCCGCTCTAGAGCCTCTACCTCCTTAATCAATAATAGTTCGCGCGACATAAGTTAGGAAGAACGGTTTTCCCACTTAGCTAGCTCGTCTTTAAGCTAGGCATGACGGAGGTTCGCCTCTACAATTGCTCTTTTAGCTTCACGAAGCTTTTTACGAATTTCTTCACTACGAGCACGGAGCTACTCCTATTCTCTACAGGTAACAACTAGGTCGCATTTTACGCCTAAAGAAATGCACTCGGCACAATAGCTAGAACGGACGTCCACGCGACAGAATAGCGACTCAAAGCGATAGCGACTATACGGGGTAGGCATGTTAGAGCTAAAGGAACGAAGATAAGACACTAGGTTATTACGGCGTTCGGTGGAAAATTGTTTAAGACTAGCAGAACCCTACTACTTTAACACGAATCTCGAGAATGTTAGCTTAGGTGCTTTCGGCATATTATAGAAAGAGGGTGAACATACCTTTTAGGACGAAAGCTATTAGGGGAGGGAGATAATATTATAAACCGTGGTAGATAACACGGAACAAAGGTAATTAGTGCTAAACATTATATAAGGGACTAATCACTTAGGATGCTAAGAGGTGCCTAATTAGTGTGATTAGTGTGATTAAAAACAGATTACTCTAATTAGGGGGATCATAGTGCGAGGTATTATAGTATATAGGCCGCACTATTCTCGTTTGTTAGAACAGTGTGCTTAACTTAAATAAGAATCCAGTATTCTTTATAACTCGATCTAATCTCACTACGTGATATCAATCCTCGCCCTATTAACTATATCTTAGCACTATTCCCTACCTCCTTAATTAGGACCCCAACCATCACAGTAACCTTTATTATCTTGTGATAGCACCTCGTTACACTATTTTTCTTTCTATACCTTCTAACCTCGTGCAACGTCTTATATATTACTCTAATAAATCAAGTTCTAGTATTAAGCCTTCCTGCATTATAATATATAGTAGTTAAGGTTCTTTATATACTACTATAGAGTCTTCTAATAGATATAAGTATTACTAGTCTCTATAGCTAAGACTAGCTAAGAAAGACTTTTAGTATAAATATTATTTCATTAAAGGTAATTCTCTATATATTAGATATTTTCGGAAGTAAGCTTTTATATATAACTATAGAGGTCTTTTTTAGGCTTTAGCTAATAGTAATTAGAGCTAGTAGCCTTATACTTAGTAAATATAGTCTAGCCTAATTGTTTATTAATACTATAATACCTAAAATATTATTTTTAAAGTATAGTATATAGTATATATTATTAAACTCGTAGACTAATTAAATTAAGGCCTTAGTTAATATTGAATAGTATTAGAAGAGTCTTTAAACATTATACTAAAGTATAAAGAGTTATTTAGAAGTATTTAAGCCTTATTTAGATATAATCAACTATATAGTAGTAATAACAGAGCTAGTGGAGCTAATAGTTATTAAAAAGAGGCGTGCAGAGTCGATTTGCGAGTGAAAGTTCTTCCCTGCCCGACGTGCCGACGTGGCCTCTAGTGGGCCCTCATTGTGCAGCGCTTGCAGGGGCCTGCATAACCAGGTACACCGACGTGTCCCCCTCTACACCATCTTTTCACAGCCGATTGTTAGTGTCCATTGTTGCAAGGTTTGCACAATGCTGGAACATGATTCGATAAGTTCCAGAAGCGCGTTTCTCCGGTTCTAACCAATGAATGGGCTCGGATACGGAGCAAAACGCGTGACAAGCCACCTGCAGACGAGCAGGGTATCCACCGGCTGTGGAAACATGCTGTACCTACATACCTACCTAGGTAGATATAGCGAGGCGCGGGGTCAACGCCTTTTGACACCGCGCCTCGTAGCCCGCTCTACTGAGGTACATAAGACAAATGCCTCCCACGTAGCTCGTATGAGATGAGAGTAGGAGACAAGGCACTCACGAAAGTCCATCCCCGAAAGACGACGGTCGATCTGTCGTGCGAGGCTTTCATCACAATAGTTTCAATGGCAGCTCTACGAGAATCGGTGGTCCACGATTACCTCTTTGTTGCTCTTGCAGCAGTGACAATCCTGTGCTATGTCATCGGTGGTGCCATCTACCGGCTGTACTTTAGCCCTTTGTCTAAGTTTCCTGGGCCGAAACTGGCAGCCATAACACTCTGGTACGAATTCTATTACGACGTGATCAAGAAAGGGCAGTACACCTTCGAGATTGGGAGGATGCACGAGGAATATGGTTAGTGCATGACGAACCCGTTGCTGGGAAAAGATGCATCTTCTAACAGTGCAGGCCCGATTGTTCGGATAAGCCCTCATGAGCTACATATCAGTGATCCAGAATACTACGAAGAGCTCTATTCTCGATCTTCTCCGCGAGATAAATACCCTTACTACACCAATCAGTTCGGCAACCCGGAATCCACTTTCTCGACTGTGCATCATCAACATCACCGGCTCCGTCGCGGCGCCATGAACCCCTTCTTCTCGAAGCGCAGGATCGCAGGGTTGGAGGAGATGATCTCGTCCATGGTGGAGAAGCTGTGCATCCGCATCGAAGAGTTCCGGCAATCCGGTCAGCCTATACCTATGCGATTGGCGTACATGTGCTTGACCACAGACGTGATCACAAAGTATTCTATGGCGCGATCATGGGATCATCTGGAGTCGCCGGATTTCTCTCCCATTTGGTGCGAAACGATCAAGGCTACGGCAGGAGCAGGGGTCTTCATGAAGCACTTCCCATGGCTGTTTCCCGTCGTCAGAGCCTTGCCGGACCGGTTGGTAGCCGCGTTGAATCCTGGCATGTTGTTACTTCTCGACTTCCAAAGAGTCAGGCTCACTAGCTCACTTACTCTCTTGCCAAGCTAGCGGCTGACCTTTGATTACCAGTCAATCGAGCGACAGATTAAAGAAATCATGGACAGAAAAGGCGACGATGAGCAGCTCTACTTGGTGGATGGTCAACCGACCATTTTCCACGAGCTGTTAAACAGCGATTTGCCACTATGGGAAAAAAGCTTAGAACGTCTTTGGCAAGAAGGTCAAGTCGTGGTAGGTGCAGGGGCAGACACCACGGCAAACGCGCTCACTGTTACTACATTTCACCTGCTTGATAATCCCGACAAGCTGCAGAGGTTGAAGTCAGAGCTGGAAATGCTCATGCCGGATCTCTGTTCGCCCGTCAAATTGCGGGAACTGGAACAGCTTCCGTATATGGTTTGTTCCCTCGCTCGATGTTTGATTGACCCGCTGACGCGAGAGAGTCCGCGGTCTTGTCCGAAGGTCTTAGGCTGTCCTATGGAGTCAGTTCTCGTCTACAGCGTATTGCTCCAGCAGAGGAGTTGAAATTCCACGACTGGACAATTCCGCCGGGCGTAAGTTTCCCCCTACACACGGCAGGATCAGTCTCAAGCCTTACCCTGAAATATCAGACTCCTGTAGGCATGACGTCTGTGCTCATGCATCACAATCCGTCTATCTTTCCGAATCCAGACACTTTTCTCCCCGAACGCTGGCTCGAACCAGCGCCGGACAATCGACCCCTCGATCGATACCTCGTCTCGTTTACAAAGGGATCAAGACAATGCATCGGCATCAAGTGTGTATTCTTTCTTCCTACCCTGTCCTTGCTGTGACAACTTGGATGAGTACGGATTCTGATTGCGTTTGGCGCCTGAGCACAGTCTAGCACGCGCCGAAATGTACCTGACGATAGCGACCGTCTTCCGAAGGTTCGACATGCAACTATTTGAAACTACCAGGAATGATGTGGATCTTAAGCACGATTTATTCTTGCCCCAGCCAAGACTGAGTTCTAAAGGAGTTAGAGTCCTAATCAAATAGATGAAGATAGGATTATACAGTCATGTAGTATAGGATGCTAGTAACGATGAAAGACTACGTTTCGACAAGTCAAGAGTTCTAAGGATAATCACACCCTAGATAGCACTCCGTATTTGATGCATTGCTTCGCTGTTAAGCTGGAAACTAGCAAAAAGTTCCGTAGAGTACGTGAAAGCATCTATGCAGGCTTGAAACCATAGACGTCATAACTAGAGGATGAAGAACCGGTTATTATCAAGTACGAAGTTGGTGCGGTCGGAGGCACACAAGCTTACAAGTTGGAGAAGAGCTTAAATGCTGGATTGCGGATCTCGGTGCGCACGCAGGCCGCCAGCACCTCATATTCTTCGTTGGTCCAGTTAAGGACGCGTGTGAAGTGAGCGCAACCGTAAGATGAGGCAGCTTCCAACATTTGCTCGCGCTGGAACAGCCCTATTCTCTTCAACTCACGATCGCGGGCCCAAGGTCCATGCGGAACCTGCACTGTCAGTCTTAGCGCGAGTCCCATTGGGCCGACTCTGATAAGCTCCGAGGGGCATACCTTCTGAATGTTTTCTTCCACATTGACAAACCCGGAGTCCAACAACCATTGGCGCATAGATGCCGCAACCAGGAACGGCTTTTCTATCATCCTGGAGGCTTGATCGAGCCCCTCTTGCCACCTGCTGATATTGACAGCTTTCTTGATACTATCATCCTCCGACCTGATCCACACCTCATGCTCCTGGATCTCTATACACCCTCCCGGGCTTAGGTGATCGTAAGCTTGCTTGAACAGACGCTTCCAATCGCCTACCGCGCCACTCATGCTGCGAATATGGATATAGTCGAACTTGTACGGGAATGTCCATACATCTTCGACATCATCGACTTGAAACTCTAAGTTCGGAGGGACCCTGATCATCCTGTCAGTGGGTCTATACAGCATCTTCATTGTGAGTACAACATACCAGTTTGGCTGTACTGGAGACAGGTCTGTCCCCACGACCGATGCAGCTGGGTTCTCGCTTGGAGCAAGTCCTCGTCGTTAGCCGACAGAGCTCCATTTCTTTCATGAATCACTGCTCACTCCGCAAAGTCCATGGCCCATATGCCAGTTCCTGTGCCAATATCGAGAACACGATGCGGATTGTTCAGAGGGGCAAGATGGAGTTTGTTCCTAAGAACGAGAAGGTTGACGTGATGATGCTGGCGATGACGGAAAGTTAGCCTGTGGAAGAGCAACTTCGATAACAAACTTACCAGATCGAGACGATCTAGCTCGGGCTCGTCGTTTGGCTTCATTACCAGTCAGCCATCCAGTACGCGAGCAGGAGCGAATCAAGTTTGCACCAAAAGGTAGACCCCATCTTTATAGGCATGAAAGCGGCGACCGTTCTGTCATAATTCAGTCTCTCGAATTCCTCACATGCCGAGCAGTGCTGGGGTGTTTAACTTCAATCCTGACTGGAGACTTAGTGCTTGGAGAAGACCTCAAATGCCTTTTAGCGTTCCATACCTGTAATGCTCCGCGCTTGACGCTAGTGAGACCGTCGAACTTGCGATGCTTAAGGAAGTCAGCCGATTCAGCGTGCGATGGATTACTTGGGTGTCTCCAGAAATCAGGACTCTTACTTCTCGCTACCGAACGCTGAGTCCGTGTCCGAGAAATTGTTGTTCTCTGAGTCGTCGAGGTTCTGTTGTGGGCAACAGACAGTCAATAGTGACCAAGGGATTCCCAGTTCTTCATATCTGCGCTTACTGCTGGTTCAATATCCGCAATTGGTTGATGTTGATGCGATGTTGTAGGGGTGGGTCCTGCTATTGGGCCTGGGAATGACATTTTTTAAATGATCGTTTGAAGATTGCTAGAGAGTAACACGCTTGCTTCACCTCCTTAGCGAAATTCTGAATGGACAAGGGCAAAGGAATTATGACGGTTTTTGCTGGTGGCCGTCTTGGGGCCGACGCCGGGGAAGGGAGGCCAAGCCGGTGATACTGTAGCGTCGGGGAAGTCGGAATTGAAGCGGTCGCCTACCCGCCCCCTGTCACAAACGTCTGTGCAATTGGCTATGTAGGGGCCCGCCTTGATATTGAGAGCGGGGGATCTTGGCGAAGGATCCGCAGGGGACTATAGTTTCTTTCATCGATTGTCACGGTTTGGACGCAGCCAAGGTGGCGAGGATTTTGCAGCTAAGGGGTTGTACCAATCCCTTGGCAAAGTGTTTCAAAGACGCCCCCATAAAACATGTTAAAGTCTATTAATTAAGCTTATATAGGTCTTATTATTACGATCTTAATCGATCTTAGTATTTATAAGGCTTAAGTAAAGCTTAATTTATTTATCTATAGTCTAATACTTAGTATATCTACTCTTAGCTTGAATTATAGTCTCTACTACCTACTTCTACCTTTCAATAAGAGTAGTAATACGCTTTAGAGTTATAGTTAATAGCTAAACTTATTATATCTATATAACAAGATCTAGCTAGTACTTAATTAGTAGACTAACTTTACTAAATTTAGTCTTTAAATCTAGCTATAGCTATCTTATTTAATTAAAAATCCAATAAGTTTAGTAGTTAGTATATTATTTAAAGTTAATAAAATAGATAATACTAGATTATATATCTCTTATAGCTAGAGGTATTATTCTCTATTAATATAATTTCTTCACTATATAACTCCCTTATTTTAGTATAGAATAGATAGAGTAGTAGCTCTAAAATTAATATACTTAATAAAATAGATTTTTCCACCTTGCGCGGCTTTAGCGAAAACTATAACTCCCTCTAAAATTTCTATAGCAAAAACGCTTATAACGCAATAATAAATATTATAGGTCGAAATTAAAAAATCTAGTCTCTAACTTTCTAATTCTACCCTTATTCTATTAATTTATTCACTTTATAGCGTCCTATAACCACTACTATAAAAGCCTTAGGGATTTAAAATTTTAGTTAAGGCTTAATTGCAATTGTAGAGCTGCAGGAGCTAGTAATTACGGCTAGTGCACTATAGCTATAGCTAGTATAGCTTAGCTACAAAAATACTAACTACTAACCGCGCTAATTAGGCTAACCGCGCGTGTGCCTTAGGTTATAGTTTTAATTTCTAGTAGGACCGAACTTTTTCTTTTTAGCTACAAGGTAGATATAGACTCTTAGGAGTACTATATAGCTTATAAAAGTTTCTTTAGATATAAAAGTATCTATATAGCTCTAAAATATCTAGAAAGCTTAGAATCTTAACAGAATACTTATAAATTCTATAAACTTATATATAATAGTAAGAATAAAACTTTTATATACAGCTATAAGATAAATATATAGTCTAATAAGAGTAAAGTATATTATATAGCTAAGAAACCCTAAAGTAACTTATATGATATAGTTATTAAGGCTAGATAGAGATAGAATATAAACTATATAATAAAGTAAGCTAATAGCTAAAATGATTAAGCTAAATACTAAGCTAAAGACTATACTAAGAGCTAGACTATAGTTTAAACTTATTATAGTTCAGACTTAGTATTCCTTAGTATTTAGATCTTTAGTTATTCTAGAGTTATATAACTATATTATATAATCTACTTATAGAGTTCTCTTTTTATTTTTCCTTTCTATACCTTCTAATCTTATATAATATTTTATATATTACTCTTATAAATTAAGTTTTAGTATTAAGCCTATCTATATTATAATATTATATTATATTTACTAATTATCTCTTATTATAGTCTAGCTATAATCTACTATATATTCTTCTACCTCTACTAAAGTATCTATATTTATAAGTAATACTTCTAATACTCTGTAAGTTCCTATAGCTATTAACTCACTTATAGTACTTATTATAGAAGCTCTAAAAAGCCCTAATATCTAGTACTAGTTCTTTACTAACCTCTTAAACTAGTTTAATAAGATATGCACCTATTATAGTATATTTAAAAAGTAACTTAAGAATCTTATATAATAGCGCGATACTATAGTTATTATATATACTAAAGTGTAACGCGCTATTATCTCTAGATAATAATAGCGGATACTAGAGTGTAGTATAATACTAATTAAGGCGTTAGGGAATAGAGTAAGAGATAATAATAATAGATTAATATTACTAGATAATAATCGGATTTATTATAAGAATATAAGATTCTTATATTAAGTTAAGTATAAGGTTTCTATAAAAGAAACTATTACTATCTATATACTTAGATTATACTTATAGTCCCTATTGTCCCCATCGTTCGCCCTTATTAAGAATAATATAGATAGTAGTACTAGTATTCTCTATTATCTCTATTATCTCCTATTATTAGGGATAATATAGATGATAGTAATAGGCTTAGTAATGCTACTAGCCTTAAATAAACCCTATACCGAGCGCTAGTTTGTAATATAAAGTAACTAAGTATATTACTTAGCTTATAGCCTAAGCTACCTAACTAAGTACTAACTTAACTACAAAGTTAAAAAAGCTTTCTAACCTAGAACTATTCTTTAATTTTAACTATACTACCCTCTACTTCTTTATTATAAATATCTGTATAAAGCTCTATATTAATACTAATTATTGCGCTACTAAAGCCGCCTAAACCTTATATCTATATAATTATCTTAAGAGTACTACTTAAGTACTTTTCCTTCTATATATTTATACGAATTATATATATAAAATTAGATTAATTAAGAAAATAATTAAGTACCTAAAACTATCCTTTAGTAATCTAAACCCTAAAGTAACTACTTAAGCTAAAATTACTAAAATTTATTAAAAGAACTATACTTTTAGTACCTTTACTACTAATTTATAATACTCTGTTTATAATACTAGTTATAATAATAATAGAAAGAAGTCTATACTTATTATAAGCCTATTAAATAAGATCTAAAGTACTCTTATAAGCTAAGATATTAAGGAAATAAGCTATCTTAAGTACTTTTACCTCTACTAGTATATTAATAAGCGCCTACATGCTACTACTAGTATAGTAATAGGTATATTATTCTTCTAAAAGTATACCTTTCTAGCTCTACTCCCTACTACTAGTACCTTCTATATAATAACTACTATAACTATATTCTTATCTACCTTCTATTTTAGGCCTATTACACTATAGTCTACACCCGCGTCCTATAACTATAGTAATTCTATAGACCTTATATCAGTCACGTCTAGTAGAGCCTAATTATACTAAAGATAAAGTAGTAGCACTTTAATAATAATAAGTACTTATACTATAATAGTAACTATATAGTCTATAACTACCTTAAGAAATCTTATATTACTATATATATAATTAATTTCAGTTTTACTTTTAATATACTAGACTTTACTACTTTATCTAAAAACTTAGCTTATTTAGAAAATAAGTAGTTTCTACTAAGAGTAATTTATAGGAATCTATACTTAAAATAGTTTTGATTTCTATTTCTTTAATCTTCTAGTTACCTTTATAAGACTTTAATAAAAATAAATATCTTATAATTAATTATATCTTAGTTACTAGTTTATATAGATATAAGTCTACTACTCTTATTAATACTAGAGCTTCTAGTTCTACCTCTATTAACTAATTTTATATAAAATCTTAGCCTTTATCTTCTTTCTCTTAGTTTTCTTATTACTTTTAAAGTTATTAATAGGCGCCCTACTACTAGTAGTAATATTACCTATTTTATCTAAGTTAAGTTTCTAGTAGAGTTATTTAAATAGATACTTACTCTTTTTATTACTTATTTTAGTTACTTTCCTATCATTCTTAGTTACCTCTAGCTACTAGCTTACTATACTATACTTAAT